GCTTCGCTTGTTCCGCCTTGGGTTTTTCGGAGGGAGCTGGGCTTGTTCAGCCTGAAGAAGAGAAGGCTGCGAGGGAACCTTATAAATGCTTATAAATATCTCAGGGGTGGGTGTCAGGAGGACGGGGCCAGACTCTTTTCAGTGGTGCTCAGCAACAGGACAAGGGGCAACGGGCGCAAACTGAGGCACAGGAAGTTCCGTCTGAACATGAGGAAGAACTTTTTCACTCTGAGGGTGACGGAGCACTGGGACAGGCTGCCCAGGGAGGCTGTGGATGCTCCTTCTCTGGAGATATTCAAGACCCACGGGGACAAGGTTCAGTGCAGCCTGCTGTAGGTGATCCTGTTTTGGCAGGAGGGTTGGACTAGATGACCCACAGAGGTCCCGTCCAACCCCTACCATTCTGTGATTCTTTAATTTTTTTTTTCATGTTGCTGACCGTCTTGTTCACTTGTTTGTGTCATTTTCTGACGATTCCGTTGAACGAGTTGTTCCTGTTGGCTTTCTTGTTCGTTGGCTCACCTGGTGGTGCTCGTGGGGATTCGCGAGGTGCTGAAAAGCGGCCACGTGCACCATGCGCAGTGTGAAAAACGTCTGTTCCCGTAAACTTGTGGGAGCTCTGGTCGGGATGAGAAGGGGAGCGGGCGCTGGGGGTGGCTTGAAGGAAGGAGGTGCAAAGCGAACAATGGAGAGATTAAAAAAGCAGAGCAAGTGCGATTGTCCTAAAGAGAAGTGTGTTTTCCCACTGCTGTTCTCTGTTTGCCTAGTCTGAATACATACAGCGGTGTCGTCTGGGTCTGGATGGATTTCAGCCTTTTGTAAAGGTAGGCTGAAGTCGGCAGGCATTTTGCACAAATCCCAATAGGCAGGAAAACCTCGCATGTTAAATTGTGAGGTACTGGATATCTAACTGCCTCTTTTAATATAAACTTAGGGTTTTTTCTCTTGATTGTTTGTATATGTCTTATTAGTATCTAGGAATGTGGGGTGGAAGTTTTTTCTGCTTATGAACTAGAATAGAAATCCACTACCTGTAAGTTCTTTAAAATGGGCTTGAAATCTGGCATGAAGAGCTCTACCCATGTGTGAAGTTAAAGTAGGACAGCTGTTTGGCTAAAGGCTTGGATTTATTCCCCTCAGTCAGAACGGAACCTATTTTATTTCAGATTAGTAGATTTCTAAGAAAATCCTAGAAAACCCCAAGTATGAATAACTTAAAAGGCAACAGGAAAAAAATTGACAGGTGGCTAAAATCATAACTTCATTTATTTTTAACATATCTTACTTCTTAAAAAAAATTACTAATGCTTAAGTAATTCTAAGATGCTACTTTACAGTGCAAAAGAAACTCAATTTCTCTGTTCTTTGACCATACTAAAACAGTAATAGTCCTAATAGTGAAATGCATTCCGATTGCATATTTTAGCTTATTAATTTTAACTACAGAATTAAATATTTAACCATATAGTACATTAGAATGTATATAACTATGAAATTGTGTGGGAGATGTGATAACTGGTATTGCCATAGAGATTACATTTTTGAGGCTGTTTTCTAGTTTCTGCTTTCCAAGTGGCATGTTGTATCACTATCATTGTCAGTGTTCTGCTTGTACATAGAATGTAGACAGAGCTTGGCTTTTACGTGTTTGAAAATTCTGTGATGCGCTTTACTTACAGAAATTTACACTTTCTAAAATTTTTGCAGCTAACTTTTCTGAGCAAGTAGTCGAAAGCTTTCCATCCGATATCTCTACTGGTATATACTATGGATGGGCCTGTGTTGGAAATGGAGATGTGCATAAAATGGTTTTGAGCATAGGATGGAATCCTTTCTATAAGAATATTAAGAAATCAGTGGTAAGAATTTTGCTTTGTGTGGTACTTTGATTATAGTAAATGAGCCAGACGTTAATTTTAAAGAAGATAAGCAGAATTTGATCCATAAATGAGATCAGAAATTCTGTTTGCTGTTAGAAATGCATTCTGGGGAGGAAGAAAAAATTCCCCAAAACCTCTCAGCAGCCATAGAGCAAACAGCTGTGGCTAAATAAAATGTATTTTCATTTGCTTCTTATACCATTACTTAAATACGTCTGAAATCAAAGTTCACATTTCCAAAGTCGTTGCTTATTGTGCTGATAGCTAGATAAATATAAACTTCATGGACGTATGCAATTTAGTGGTTATGAGACTCCTAGAATGAGCTGGAGCATACTAATCTCTCATCCTCTGCAATCCATCCACATTTAAAGGATGAGATTCTGGGGCATCTAAATTTGTAATGATTTTCCAGTAACTCTTCTTTGAAATGGTGGAATCCATATATGTGGTTCTGTGGCTTAATATACAGACTCAAGATCCAAAAATAAATAGTAACAAGACAGAATTAAAGTCCTGAATTCTGGCATCTATGTTTTTCTTGCTGTCAGGTGCTGGTGCTTTTCCTGAGTCTTGCAGATCTTGGTTTTACTTGTTAATACTTGGAAGCAGTTTTACATGAATCTCTGCTTCAAAGATAGCTGCCTTTGCTCTCTTAAGAGTTTCATCATTCAGTTCCTGTGAGTTACTTGTAAAAGGTCCCTTTAAAACAACTGTTCAGTCAAATTAATTACAGTTATTTGGACTCAGCAATTTGGTGATCAAACAACTCTGAGCATTATTTGTGATTTGCTGCTTTGAAAAATCTTACCTCTGCAATGAATATCACAATGTTCTTAAATGCCATGCAAAGTACAATTCTCCTTACTAAAGTAATCAAAAGCTCTAGCGTCCTAATTTTGCATTACACGTTAGACTAAGTGTATCAGTTTTCCTGATACGTGTGAGAGAGAATTTGAATTATTGGTCAACATCCTTGCAACAAGGGAAATAAACTCAAAATGCATCATGATAATTGTCAACGTATTTCTCTTCTTTTAGGAGATGCACATTATCCACACTTTCAAAGACGACTTTTATGGAGAGATTCTTAGTATAGTCATTCTTGGATATATTCGATCAGAAAAAAACTTCAGTTCTTTAGGTCAGTATTGTAGGTCTCTTAAAATAATGTTTTATTTGTCATGTTCTTGTGCATTGAAAGTACTGTGGCATTGTTCTCTGTCTCTCTTCATAATCAACTGTTTCATGTTTGGTAGCTGTTTCTTGTAATGAGATGTTTCATGTAGCTGTTTCTCAAGGGTAGAGAGGCCTTACAGAGAGATCTGGATAGACCAGGGAGCTGGGAAGTCACCAACTGTATGAAATTTAACAAGAGCAAGTGCCAGATTCTTCATCTGGAATGGGATAGTCCTGGTTATACCTACAAATTTGGGGAACAAGAGGCTGGAGAGCAGCCCTACAGAAAAAGATCTGGGTGTCTGGGTTGGTGGCAAGTTGAATATGAGTCAACAGTATGCCCTGGCAACCAAAAACTCCAACCATGTCCTGGAGTGCATCAAGCACAGCATCGCTGGCCGGTTGAGTGAGGTGATTGTCCCACTCTACACTGCGTTGGTGAGGTCCCACCCCGAGTACTGCGTGCAATTTTGGGGGCCCCAGTTTAAAAAGGACATCAGACTATTAGAGCGTGTTCAGAGGAGGATGAGGGGGAACTGGTGGTCTCCTCTCGCTGGTGACCAGCCATAGCACACGAGGAAATGGAACGAAGATGTGTCAGGGGAAGTTCAGAGTGGACATTAGGAAAAGCTTCTTCACTGAAATGGTGGTTGGTTACTGGAACTGGCTCCCCAGGGAAGTTCTCACAGCACCAAGGCTGCAAGAGTTGAAGGAGTGTCTGAATGACGCTCTTAGTCATGTTTAGTTTTAGCGAGTGCTGAGAGAAGCAGGGAGTTGGACTTGACGATCCTTATGGGTCCCTTCCACCTCGAGATAATCTACGATTCTATGTCTTTAACTTTTCATTGAAATGTTTTTTTTTAAGCTGAATCTACTAATATATAGATTGGTCATATTAAAAAAAGCAAAACCTCACAACTTTCAGACTATCCGTACTTACTTATTTCCATCTAAATATTATATCGACATGTCAGTCGTCTGAGAAGTGGCTTGAAAATCATGAGTTTGTAAAAGCGTTGATCTAGTTGTCCATTTGTTTTAAAAATGCATCTATGCTAAAACTGAAATGGTAAATCTGAAATGGTTGATGAAATTCTGTTGACTTTTTTGATAAAATGGAACAAGTAAAAATAGTGTTTACAGCAGTGAAAAGTGCAACACGTATCATAAGCATGTCATTTTAGAAACAGAGGATGTTATCTTTCCAGCTTCATAATAATAAATGTATTCTGCCTCTGTGATTTGTCTGGTGTTCTGTAGTATGCTCTTTTTCACTTCCTACTGTGTGTTCAGAATTCAGACCAGCTTTTAAATACCGCTTTTCTTCTCTTTTGCAGAGGCACTCATTTCAGCAATTCAAGACGACATTGAAGAGGCAAAAAGACAGCTAGATTTACCAGAACATCTTAAACTTAAAGACAACGATTTCTTTCATCTGCCAGAAGGCGAAACAGTAAACCACTAAGCAAAACCGTGTGTTTTTTTATCTCTTGGAGCTGTTTTCTTTGCACTACCATGTATCATTTGATACATGACGTATGCGTGTGTGCTGGGTCTGGCTGGGATGGAGTTAATTTTCTTCATAGCAGCTCATATGGTGCAGTATTTTAGATTTGTGACCAAAACAATGAACATAACATGCTAATATTTTAGCTGTTTCTGAGCAGTACTTGCACAACATCGAGGCCTTCTCCGTTTCTTGCTCTGCTCCCCCAGATTGGAGCTCCCCCAGATTGCTCCCCCAGATTGGAGCTGTGCAAGAGATTGGGAAGGGACACAACCAGACAGAAGAACTGAACTAACCAGAGATATTCCGTGCCATTAAATGGTCGTGCTAAGCAATTAAATGGTGAGGAGGGGGTTTAAGGAGGTTGGCCATCTTTTGTTTGGGAACTGGCCGGGCATCAGTCTGCCCATGGGAGGTGGTGAGTGATTGCCGTTGCATCACTTGTTTTATTTTCTTTTTTTCTTCTTCCACTTCTCCTTTGCTTGTTAATCTATTTTTGTCTTGACCCGCAAATTTTCATGCTTTTATTCTTCCATTCTTTTTTTCCCCTGTCCCGCTAGGGACTTGTGGGGGCAGTTAGCTTGTGGCCATATGGTGCTTAGCTACCTCCTGGGGTTATCCTGCAACTATAGGTTCAGGTAATTGTGATTGAAGTTGAACACTAAAACCACACAAAGTGATTTAAGTTTGTTTGTGTTACTTGGTCATTTAACCAGTCGCGCAGAAGGAGTAGAAGACTCTTTTAGGTCTTTTTGGAAAAATTGTGAATCTGAATGTTAGCAGTCATTTAGAGATCTTCGCACATGTGGAATAAGACCAAAGGTAGTTGTGACCTCTTCTGCCCCTAAGGTGCAGAGTTAGATACTTCAGTGAGGACTGTCAGTGTTCCAGACAGAGAATGTTATTCCAAACTCTTTTCCCAATTTCATGTCATTCTTATGTCTGGTTTGTAGGTAGCAGCTTAGAGAACTTTCATATTGATTGAGTAAAAAATTACCTGTGGTGCAGGAAGCTAATGATTACAGAACAGTAACAAGAATAATTTACTACAGTTCCTATTTTTGATATGCTGTACAGCTGTTGTGGTGGTAGCTGTCATTGTAACTGATTTTTTTAAATTGTAATTTTAATTGAAATAGAGGAAATGACTGTTACTCACTGAGTTACTAGAATACGAGATAGATACTTCTGACTAGTTGACTGCGTATAACAACACAACTTGAGTAGTTGTCTTCTACAGAAGCGTTGCACTGAAGTTCAGGAAGTGAATGACAGGGAGAAGGTTGGTACACTGCAAGTGTTCAGGCTTAAAGGATGCAGAACCAGTCTAACAATATTTCTGCTCTTTGAGTCCTGATGCAGAGGAGGTAACTGAAGGAAGCTGCATTGTGGTTGCTGCTGGCAGCTGTCTTACATGAGGAAAACTTCTGGGTTGTTCGCTATACTGACAGCAAAATGAATGACTTCAAGGTTGAAGTTAGAATGTAAGGTGCAGGAAAATCCTTTCAACCCTCTGCACTAAATGCAGATAAGATCCAAACTTTTGGCTGCAGATCAGTGAAAGTCTTTGGGGATTGAGTCATGGCAGTTGGGTGAAGTCCCTGATGACTGGAAAAAGGGAAGCATCGCACCCCTTTTTGAAAAGGGTAGAAAGGAGGGCCCTGGGAACTACCAGCCTTTCAGCTTCAACCTCTGTGCCCGGGAATATCATGGAATAGATCTTCCCGGAAGCTACAGTAAGGCATATGGAGGACAGAATGGTGAACTGAGACATCCAGCATGGCTTCAACCAAGGGCAAGTCCTGCCTGACCAACTTTGTGGCCTTGTGTGATGGAAAGACTACATCAGTAGACAAGGGAAGAGCTAACAGATGTCACCTTCTGTAAAGCCTTTGAGATGGTCCCCCACAACATCCTTCTCTTTAAATTGGAGAGACATGGATTTGATGGGTGGACTGTTAGGTGGATGAGGACGTGGCTGGATGATTGCATCCAGAGGGTAGTCGTCAACGGGTCAATGTCTGATGGAGATCAGTGACAAGTGGTGTCCTTCAGGGGTCTGTACTGGGACCAGTTCTAGTTAATATCTTCATCAAAGACACAGACAGAGAGATTGAGTGCACCCTCAGCAAGTTTTCAGATGACACCCAACTTGACTGTGCAGTTGACATGCCTCAGGGATGGGATGCCATCCAGAGGGACCTGGACAAGCTTGAGAAGTGGGTCCATGTGAACCTCATGAGGTTCAACACAGCCAAGTACAGGGCCCTGCACCTGGGTCAAGGCAACCACTGGTATCAATGCAGGCTGGGGGATGAAGGCATTGAGAGCAGACCTGTGGAGAGGGACTTGGGAACACTGGTGGATGAAAAGCTGGACATGAGCCACCAGTGTGTGCTCACAGCCCAGAAGGCCAACTGTATCTTGGGTTGCATCAAGAGCAGCGTGGCCAGCAGGTTGAGGGAGATGATTCTGCCACTCTACTCTGCTCTCCTGGGACCTCACCTGGAGCCCTGTGTCCAGCTCTGGAGCCCTCAGTACAGGAAAGACATGGACCTGTTAGAGCGGGTCCAGAAGAGGCCACAAAAATGATCAGAGGGCTGGAGCACCTCTCCTGTGAGGAAAGGCAGAGGCTGAGAGAGTTGGGAGTTGTTCAGCCCGGAGAAGAAAAGGCTCCAAGAAGACTTTATTGGGGCCTTTCAATACTTAAAGGGGGCTTATAAGAAAGATGGGGACAAACTTTTTAGCAAGGCCTGATGTGATAAGACAAGGGGTAATGGCTTTAAACTAAAAGAGGGTAGATTTAGACTAGATATAAGGAAGAAATTTTTATGAGGAGGATGGTGAATCACTGGAACAGGTTGCCCAGAGAGGTCATAGATGCCCCATCGCTGGAAGCATTGAAGGCCAGGTTGGACCGGGCTCTGAGCAACCTGATCTAGTGAAAGATGTCCCTGTTTATTGCAGGGGGGGTTGGACTAGATGACCTCTAAAGGTCCGTTCCAACCCAAACTGTTGTGTGATTTTTGGAGTAATATATGAACACTTTAGTAGATACTGGGTATTTATTAGAAGTTATTGAGGCCTTTCTCACTGTGAAGTCTTTGCACATATAAATGGACAGTGTTGTCAAAGTTGATAGTAATTTGGAAAATATTTGTTAAAATTATAAAGCAGGTATGTATAGTGTGTGTGCTTCCAAATCTACTTGCCCCACCCTAGTACAATTTTACGAATTTCTTCCTTGTCCAGTCCCGTTCTGATTCTGCATTGCACTGCAGTGTTTCAGAGACCTCTGTCAGGGTAGTCTTATGGGAATTCTCTGTGGTGGGTGCTGTCAGCCTGCCAGGGTTGCAGTTCATAATGTCTTAACCTGCAGCCAGTCTCACAGGGTATTTTGGAAAAGGGCTTGAGCAAGTCATGGACTCCTTGTCGTTGTGCAGGACTTCAGCTGAAATGTGATTACGCAGATGAATGCTTATCAGTCCTGTCGATGACAAAGATAGAAGGGATATAAGCCTCTTGAGGGAGGAAAGAATGATTTTGATAAAAGTGCTTAGAATAAGCAGCATTTTGACCTGTGTTGCTAAGATTGTTTAAACATTCAGCTCTCCAAAGACACTGACAGTTTGTCCTAGCCGTTGCCTGGACATTTTTAGCAGACTTTGGTCTTTCTAGTAGGAAAATATTAAAAGAAAACGGACTTACCTGCTGTCAGAAATACTTTCTTTCTTTATAAAAACAACTGAAAAAAAACACTCAGAAAAAAACAAGATCAGTTTAATGGGCTTTTACTGTATTCATATTGGAAAGCTGTACAAGAATTTTCTTGAAAGTGAGTTTTTTTCTCCACTTTAAAACTGAGGGCTGATGCGAGCATTTTTTTCAACTTCCCACCCCCCCCTTGAGTATATGACTATGTCAACTCTTGTTTTATATTTTACTTTTCTGGAAGAACAAATAGTAGCCATGGTTGTCCATGTAATACAATGACAAGAACGTATTTAAAGAATGAGTCTTAATTGATTGTGGTATTATAGCTAAGCTCGTAGCTGCCTCTTGAAATTATTTTTTGCCAGTGATTTCGTAGTGCCTTAAGCTGGTTGTCTTAGTAACACAATTCTGTAACTGCTGATGAATGCTACTATCCAGAATTCATTTCACATTTGGTTTTAAAACTACTATGCTTGAGGATAGAGAACAGTAGCAAAAGGAAAACTTTAGAAACTTCATTTGCTCAGAGCTGTCACCTGAAGTGCGAAGTGTGTATACAGTAATAAACTGCTCTTTGCATGTTTGCCTTGGAGTTAAAGAAAATGTAATTGCATTCATTTGGCTGAGTCTGTCTATCTCTGTGCATTATTTTATATCAAATATTGTGTGTTGATTTTTAAGTTCAATATATGATTCCTAGCACAGTATAAATTTATGAAGGGTTATATTTTTGTATTACGTGCCAATAACAATTTCACTTTATGTTGTGACACTGCGCCATTAATAAAAGAATGTAGCTGAGATAGTAATGCTGCTGCTTATCACAGGTGTTCTGATTGATTGTATTACATGATTCTATATGTGATGCAGATCATCTGTGTGTATTCCTTAGGATACACTGAAAGAGGTCTTGCGGCATTCTTCTTTCAGTTTTGCCAGAGGTAGGGAGAAATGTTGTTCGTGCTTACAGACTTGGTGCTACATTATTTATGTTCCTGACGTTTGCAGTTCTGTATTTGTAAGGTAATATATGAACACCAAAGGAGGCATAAATGCCTCTGAAATTGTTGCGGTTCAAGCAATGTAAGTATTTCCACAGTTTGTAATACTTTTTAAACAAAGCTTGTGACATGTTTTAATTGACTCTCTTGTTCTGAAGTCTGTTACTGTTCTGAAATGGAGTTTGTTGACAATGTGAGAATAAAAGTAGAAGTATTTTTTTCAAATGCATATAGTTGATAATG